AACAGCAGATTTGATGCTCAGAACAAATGATGTGCTTCAGTTGAATCTAAAGAAAGAAGACCTGTGTCCCAGCTAAAGTCAGACAGAGGCAGTTCCTTCTTAGAAGGGATGATCTGCCTTTTTGCTCTATTCAGGATCTTAAACTAAGGCAAGTAAGCCCTAGCCACATTAGGGAGAGTAATCTGCTTTAGTCATTCTATCAATTTAAATGTCAGTCTCATCTGAAAACACCCTCATTGACCTACCCAGAATAATATTTGACCAAAGATCTGAGTACCTAGTGGCCCAATCAAATTGACACATAAAATTAACCATCTCAGTGCCTATAATGAGAAATCATTTTTTTAAATACCCATAGGCATCATTATCATGATTGGAACATTACTATATTGTGGATTTCAGGAAAACCAGGGAGATAAATTGTTTCTACACAACTGAAGTTACAAAACATTACTGAAATGAAAAGAACGTGATTTAATTTTATTATAGTGTGTAGCATGTGGTACTTTTATTTGGAATCTTACACTTGCTATTTGAATAAGTAATCACCTTAGATTTCTTAAAAATATACAGTGAATACTTATGTGTGCAGGGGAAAGCAGAGTGTGGGAGAGATAAAATGTTTGAATTATTAAACATATTTTTAAATAATTTAGAAATCTGTCATTGTGCCTTGGTATCACTATTCAATTAAGGTAAATGTTGACTTAATTTCTTTGTATTTAACTTATGTGATCATTTACTATAAGGTTTTGCTTTTCAGCCTAAAAGTATACTTGTAAAGAGCATGCAGCTTTAGGATTGAGATGGTGATTACATTTGAGGTCTTCAATAGACTTGTGGTGGGAAATTAAACAAGTGACATACACACAGTCATTGCCTGAACTTGCTTATTTTATGAGCTGTAATAAAAATGCTTGTTATCAAATGTTAAGTATGGAGCATTTTGAACTCCTTGGATGAAATACTTAATTTGAATTTACTCAGCCTTTAAATAAATTTAAAAGATTAATTGACCTGCACAAATTTGCTACCAACCTTCTCTTTCCCATGGTGGCTAACTTCTAGTAAAATGAAGGAAATTAACATTTCTTTCTACTTCCCTCTCAGATATAAGTGTTCACATGGGTTGAGTAGGTCATTATCTCTTACCTGATGTAGAACTACTATAATCCACTGAGGTGTTGTGTAGGAAAACTCTTCACGTTAGGCTACAGATTTTAGAATCACTTAAGGTCAATGAATTCAGCCTGGATTATAAAGTACTGAATAATAAAAAGTTTTAGAGAATGGGGTTTCTATGCCAGGAATGTTCTACTCTTAAGGGAAATCCCTAGATGAAATGACTGGGGAAAAACTCCAATCTGAAAATTAGGTTCCTTTTTATCCTATTTTACTCTGAAAATAGCTAGGAACAAAAGCACTAAAAGGAACGAAATGAACACAGGCTTGAGGGTACAGTACTTCCTCCTCTCATCACTGGTGAAATCACAGGAGAATAGCAGTAGAAGATAAGGTGGTGAGAGAGACAGAAGCAAAGAGGGGAAAAATGGTATGAGCTGGTGAGATAAGTCTTCTACAGAACTTTGCAGGGAAATGCTGGGCTTCGTAGATAAGGAAGAGACCCTAGGAAGGTTCCTCAGGGAATTGTGTTGTCCCTGATCCTCAAATTTTGAGTTGGCGTTCTTGAAGCTTTTTACCCTTCATTTGTGCTTCATCTTGACAGAAGTCTCACTAGCCAAGTATTTCCAGCTATAGGTTCCAGCCATCTGGGCCAAACAATACTATTTTTCTGCACTCTATCCTCCCTCTGTATGTAGGTATGTAGGTAAATCTTGATTTAGCACCATCGATGTACTTTAATAGATCTCAGCTGTCAAAATATAATTGAAAAGCAATTCTTTTTTTTTTTTTTTAAGATTTTATTTATTTATTTGACAGCGATCACAACTAGGCAGAGAGGCAGGCAGAGAGAGAGAGGAGGAAGCAGGCTCCCTGCTGAGCAGAGAGCCCAATGCGGGGCTCTATCCCAGGACCCTGGGATCATGACCTGAGCCAAAGGCAGAGGCTTTAACCCACTGAGCCACCCAGGTGTCCCTGAAAAGCAATTCTTAATAACGCTCATTCTGTTGACATCTTGTTTGGTTTACAAAAGAAGTTTTTTATAGATGACAGAGGTGGTAATACAAACCTTTAGAGAAAAGAAAGATTTGTTAATAAATGGGTGAAGTAAAGCAAGCCAGAGTAGGGAAAAGAATATGGAAGTATTTTAGAGAATGCAGTCTTGAAGGCTGGATATTGCCCTTTTGATTTGGCTGAAAACGGAGAACATGTAAGCAATGATGTAGCTAGAAGGAATCACAGAAATGGAATGCAGTGAAAGTAGTAAAGCTATTCAATGGGTTTAGCCATGGCAAGTACAGAGAGGCAAGGGTATCTGTAATGGCTTAAAAAAAAAAAAAAAGTTCTGGGCTGGTAAAAGGTGGAGACAAAACAAGAAGTGTGCTTTGTGAAACTTGTAGAGCAAAAAAGAATGCAAGAATTGATTGTAGTGAATCATGTGCATTGTTTTAGCAACTTGCATCTATGAGAAACATACTTGTTATAAGAGGGAGGCTATTATATAGCAATAATGACTGAATACAAATAAGATCAAATACTACATTTAAGGGGCACTTGGGTAGCTCAGTCAATTAAGCATCTGCCTTCACCTCAGGTCATGATGCCAGAATCTTGGGATCAAGCCCAGAGTCCCTGGAGTCAAGCTCCCTGCCTCAATGGGGAGTCTGCTTCTCCCTCTCTCTCTGTTCCTTTCCACAGCTCATGCGCTCTCTGTCTCACTCACTTTCTCTCTCTCTCTCAAAAAAAAAAAAAAAAAAAAAAAAATCTTAAAAAAATATATATTAGACTTAAGTTTTACATTTATTTTTTTTAATTTAATTCCTTCAGAGACACATATTGTGGAATTTAGAATTTCTTCCTTTTAATCCATGCTATTCTTCTGTTGCAAAAAAAAAAAATTCTAAGGAAATTTCTCTAACAGAAATCTAAGGAATAACAGTGTGTCAGGTATTGGGAGTGGATATTAAGAATTATATATACAAAAGGAAATGAAAGCCAAACAAACAAACAAGAAAACAAAAACAAAAACAAAAAAACAACACCATAACAATAAAGAAATGAAAGCCAAACTTGTATTTTCACTGATGTTGAGCAGGATACATGTCTCAGATATAAGTAAGGGGAAACATGTAAATCACTTGTTAAAATGATTTTTAATTTTGTTGGCTAAGCCTCTGGGGAGAGAAAAGACTAGATTCTATCAAATCCTTATTAAAAACATTAAAGAGTGTAACAGTCTAGGTTTCACAAATTCAAATTCAAATGCATCCAGGCACCATTCAGTGAATGTGAGTGAGTGAAGCCGGCTGTGCGTGAGACTCTAGTAGACAGGACACCTGTTAATATCTTGCCTGACAAAGGCATTCACATTCAATTAGGAAAAAAATCTAGTCTGGCTGAACAAATACCTTTAAAGTTCCCAATTCTCAACAGCTGGATCTGTCAAAAGTACTTGGAATTTTGTACATGATATAAAGTAGTTTCTTTGCTTTTCATAATCTAGTACTTAAAGGTAGCTCTTTTGGGAGAATATTAAAACCCTGCCAAAACTGTCCCAGGTTGATCTAAAACCTTCAGGAATTTGCCCCAGGAGTATATCAGGAAGTGAAAGAGAATTGACTCTCTTTTCAGAAAATCAGACTTTCAAAAGAAGCAAATTGGTGGGGCTCACTATACAAATTTTAGGTTTTTATGCTTTACTCCATATATATATATATATATATGTAACATTAAACTGAAACCTTGTCTTGTTTATAAACTTTCACACAGGCCTTCCATTTTAATTGATTTTAACTTCGTGGCAAAGATCTATCAGGTCCTCCAAAAAAGTTGGATAGATACCGAAACATTGTTATATGTTGGAAAAATCTAGCACTGTAGTTGAAAAAAATTGAAACAGTTCACTTTCTAAGTACTAGACTATAATTTCCAAATCTTTTGATCAGTTATATTTAAAAGTATTTTTGAAATTATATCATGCCAAAGAAACGTGGAGGGGGGGTGTTGAAGAGTCAATGTCTTGATACAGTGACAAATATGTATTGAATATATACTTTCTGCTTGATGTGAGATGTGGTGTTCTCACTGCTAATGTCTTACTTTTCTCATGATTATGTGTGAGGAGATTGGTATTTTTCCCTAAAAGTTCAAACTTAAGACTTGAGGGAATATACTTTTAAGAATAAATGGAGAAAATTCCTTCTATGGTTTTCAAAAAAAAAAAAATTCTAAGAAGAATAGAATTATAACCTACAAAGTCATTTTTTTTTTTTTTTAGATTTTATTTATTTATTTGACAGACAGAGATCACAAGCAGGCAGAGAGGCAGGCAGAGAGAGAGGAGGAAGCAGGCTCCCCACTGAGCAGAGAGCCTGATGCAGGGCTCGATCCCAGGACCCTGAGATCATGACCTGAGCTGAAGGCAGTGGCTTAACCCACTGAGCCACCCAGGCGCCCCACAAAGTCATCTTTTAAATTTTCTGAAAAATTAAAAAAAAAAAACCCTAAACTTTTTAGGGACTCAACAGCATTTAAAAATATTTCAAATTAAAGAATCATTGCAGTTCATAATAAAGCTGTGATAAAAATGGTTTTGAAGCACCAACAGCAAGCAGAGTTTGATTTGGTCCAGTGCTAGTCACAGTTTAGTGAGCATCAGAACTATAGGGAAATGTCACAATGTAGGTTCCTGAGCTCCATCCCTAAAGGTTCCTATTCCTATTCCAGAGGATAAGGGGGTAGCCTAAACATTTATATTTCCAGCAGGTTCCTGAATGACATTGATGCAGCTGATCTATGGACTGTATTTCGAGTAGCACTGATTTTGAGGTGTCCCAAGAAGCATAGTGTATGCTAACAATTTAAATTATGTCTTTCAGAAAAATCATTTCAACTGTTCCAGAAGAGCTAACTGCCAAGAAACTAATGTCAGTTCCGTACAGATACAAGGTGATGCTGATTATTTCATCAACCATCTTGGAGTTCCCACCGTGCAATTTGCCTTTGAGGACATCAAAGCATTAGAGGTGACTGTTCCTAAAAATGCAAAATACACAAACCCATACACACACACATACACACTATTTAGCAGACATGCAGAATTTGATTTTATCCTGGCTATTTGTCTTTCTTACCAAGTAGGTCACTATAGGAGGCTGCTTCATTTAGAGAGTTATTCTTGTTGTTCAGAGGCTTTGTAACAGTATTTGAAAACATCAGCTCTTTTCAATAGTATTGAATTCAATTTAAAAAGATTTATACTGTCACTCACATTTTCACAATGTGCTTCGCAACAAAAAATTTGCAGTAGTTGGATTAACATCAAAACATAATTGTAATCTTCAGTATTCACAGAAACAGATGACATGGGCAATAGATTCTTCTCTTCTTGCCCAAGGGAAAATGCGTTTCACATATTGTATATTAATGTGAGTCTTGTGGATTAGCTACCCGAAGTTTGTCAATAGTTTGCCTGCCCAAAAGGATACTACTTTTTTGTGAGGAGAGGAGGTTTTTTCGCCAAAGATTACCACAGAATCCTGATTTACCTCAACTAAGTCTGTGTTCATCCATTTGTTGAACTTCAAACCTTTCGACCTTCCTCAGAATTATGATGCAGAAAACTGTTTCTCTGTAGTTCTAAACCTATTGGAATATTTTACCTTTCACAAGTTGTGCATGCTTTATTGGGAGCTTTTTGAATGCTGGGTGGCCTACTTGAGGTAATTATTGTATTAACAACATAAATAGCGGCTGGAAAATAGAATTAAGCCTGCTTTGTTCTTCAACTATAGATGGTCCTGAAAAGTTGTGTTTAAATTACATTTTTATAGGCACAACTTCAGGTGTGCAGTATCTTAATTGCTGATAGCTTTAGTGATATTTTGGTTTGTTTCTCAGCAGCACTCCCACACTCATCCCTGAGTTCCTCTGTAAACAGCTAATGGTCACTAATGACTTAAATTCATGGAGGGAGAAACTCTGGGTGAATCCTATTGCAATGAGGTGATTTCTTGGGTAATGGAAAAGTTATCACTACATTTATCTGTTTTTTTTTTTTAAATTGTATTTTCATATGCTATTGTTGTGTAAAAATGGGATGCATGCATAGAGGTAGCTTATCTTTTACCAAGCTCACTAAATACACTTTAATGAAATCAGTGTATTAAGATAGTAGCTCAGGGTGCCTGGGTGGCTCAGTGGGTTAAGTGTCTGCCTTTGGCTCAGGTCATGATCTCAGGGTCCTGGGATCGAGCCCCGCATCGGGCTCTCTGCTCAGCAGGGAGCCTGCTTCCCCCTCACCCCTGTCTACTTGTGATCTCTGTTTGTCAAATAAATAAATAAAATCTAAAACAAACAAACAAACAAAAAACAATAGCTCATTTTGAATTTTCTTGCTGGATATCTTTTACTATTTCTTCATTGTCCTCCTATTTCAGCCCATCTAGTTCCTGTCATGTGAACATGTTGAATGATAGCTTTTATTCCATCCATGTCTAATTCACCATGGTTGAATCTTAAGCTAAGAATTTAGACAGACAGTATAGTATAGTCTTAGGAATGGGTCTATACTTAACTCTTAATGCTGGTACTTATGAGACAAACGAGTTAACCTCTTTCAGACTTATTTTGCAGATGAGGAACCTTGGTATACTTAAGGAATCTACTCCTTAGAGCCCTGGTGAGATTAAATGAGATGTACATGGAAGGGATTTATCTAATATTGAGCACACAATAAGGCTCCATCAACTCCAGCTATCATCACAGGTATTATTATCTGGTTGTAGGTTCAACATATTAATGGAAGAATCTCCAAACGTTTTAGACAAGAACACATTAGTGGAAAAGAGGAGCTTGTTAATTATTAGGGAAAACAGGCTTCTAAGGATGAAGAGGTGGGATATAAGGAGGATCACTGAGAGGATCTGAGGTGTCATTAGAAAGATTTGGAAACAGGTCATAGTTAAGTTCTGAAAAGGCACTGTTAACCATTGTGAAATTCCTATGGCTAAAGTCAATCCAGTAGAACTGGCTTAGTCTGAGAGAGCTGATCATTTTTTTTTTTTTCCAAATTATACCCCAAATGTCCAATTCCCATAAAAAAATTATTTTTATTGTATTTGTCTCTAAAAAGACAATTAAAAGAGAATCCCCTATGCTTTATAACAAATTACCTTGTTTATAATGCTTTAGTGTGGAAAAAATTTTAATGCGTTTGTCCTTTGCAAAATATAAATGCTTCATGTGAGATAATTTTGTGTAGCAAATTCTTCCAAGAACAGATAATAACCTTTGCTTTCTGCATTAACCTATAATAAACATTTGTATACATTGAGAGGAATTATAAATATTGACAGGCTTTATCCATCATATAAAGAATATTTACCCTATGTCAATTAGTAAAGCAGGGAGGAAATTAATCTTTTTCATGAATTTGAAATTAGGTTTAAAAATATAATGTATGTGTATTTATATATTACACATATTATGCATATAATTTATAAAATATCTACCACTTATTGAGTACTTGATGTACTAAAAATTTTTATTTCATCTTACTGAATATTTACAATATCATTATGAGTTAGCTATTATTATTAATGCTTTTTTGCTGAGGATGAAATGAAGCTTAAAATCAAGTAACTTATCCAAGGTCATAAAACTAATAAATAGCCAAGATAGAAGTTGATTTGGATCTGTTTATCAGTAAGCCCATGTTCTCAGCTATTACACTAAAGGTTGCAACTTGGGCAAAATTCAGTTCACAGATATATTCTGTTTGCTTTGAGCTTTGTTGAAAAACTGGATGTCTGGAAACATTTTTCCCCCATGGAAAGAATTGGCTAAATTGTGCATTATTCACCAGCTTACCATGTTCTTTATTAAGGAGTCTGCATGTTGTTTATCCTAGAGTACAGTTAAGAAGAATATTTCTTCAATGCCTGTTGCTATCACAAATTGGGAAATGAAACAAAACAATCTAATAGGCCACATTTCCCGAGACTTGTGTTGCCTGCATTACCCCCATAGCTCTTGTAGGAACTAGGTTCATTATCACCAACCTCATTTTGAGTGAAAGAGCCCAAGGTGGATAATTCTATAGTACTTTTCACTTTATAAATTGTATGTATTCTAAATGAGCTAATTTTATAATTATGCTTGTGTTTGGGGAGACATTATTTATTTAAATTTTATTTGGGTGCTAAACTTCAGTGCTTTTGCTCATTTTTTTTCTCCAACAGATTGATTATGGATCTATTATAGTCAGTTTCAACAAGTGAATGATAAAGGGGGGGAAAAACTGTAGGAAAAGAAACTAGTGCCTCAGATACCAATTTTAATGGACATATGGGATATTATTCTAAAATTATTTTTTGTGGGGCGCCTGAGTGGCTCAGTGGGGTAAAGCCTTTGCCTTTGGCTCAGGTCATGATCCCAGGGTCCTGGGCTCGAGCCCCGCATCAGGCTCTCTGCTCAGCGGGGAGCCTGTTCCTCCTCTCTCTCTGCCTGCCTCTCTGCTTACTTGTGATCTCTGTCTGTCAAATAAATAAATAAAATCTTTTAAAAAATTATTTTTTGTGAAACATGACATTTTATAATATCCATCCCTAATATTTCATGGTTCCATATTTCCACCAATACCTTTTCCCTGGGTGCTTATATTGAATAAGAGTGCATGAGGCGTATTTCATCTTTAGTTTTTTTTGTTGTCTATACTCAAATTTTTCAATAATTAAATTTCACAAATGCAAAGCAATGTATGGCTTTGCCAAATGCTAGAATTGTTCCTTCTCATAAAATATTGCCCTGTTAATTGAAATGTCTCTAGTTGTAGGTTTTCAATTTGTAAACATTGTTGCACCTGTTAGGAGAAGCATTCTGCACAGATTAAATACAATGCAGAGATTGCTGAAAAGGAAATGAAAAGACAGATGCTTTCTGATTAAGAGTGCAATATTTATGACAGGCTGCTGGTCCGATGCACATTTATTCTGTCATTTAACAGCTGTTTCACATAATTTTTGTTCCAGATCAGTATATTTACTCTCCATAGGGCATGTCAGAGGGTCTGGCTTTCTTAGTATATCAGAAGATCAATCCATGCCCTAGTAAGCTCTCTATCACAAATTGAAGCTCTGGTTCCTCATGCTGTTTAACCTTATATTTTTTGCTCTTCTGCTTGAAACATTCTTTTTTGAACCCAATTTACCTCTATAATGGAGCATTTAACATTTAAATGATAATGAGATAAAGAGGTATTATAGCTTTTATACAGTCAAGGTTTTTGCATAATTGTTTCAATATCATTCAGTAACCCAACAACTGAAAACCAAGTAGCATAGGTATTTTGAAACTTATTCTTTTTAGTTAGATGGCTCTGATATCAATTTTGATCCTTAAACTGATATATAACAGCATGAGTATTTGGGTATATGTATGGACATTAACATTAAGGTAATTTTATCACATAAAAATAATCAATTTGCACAGAAACAATACAGATACAACACTACAATACATGTACACACATTTTGGAGCAAAGTAACTCATAGTTTACATATCAATTCTTCATATTTTATTCTCTAACTAGAAGAATATTTTATTTTACTTAGTGATAATTCTTCCATTACATTTTCTGTTTGGAGCTTAGTCACTGACACTGTTGTGTTAACAGACAATAACAGTTCAAAAGTCAATTAAAAGCTCTTGATTTAAGGAGGAGTTCCTGGGTAGCTCATTTGGTTAAGTGGCTAACTTTTGATTTGGGCTCAGGTCATGGTCTGAGGATCGTAGGATCCCATTATGGGCTCTGAGCTGGGTGTAGAGCCTGCTTAAGATTCTCTCTCTCTCTCTCTCTCTGCCCCTTTCCCCACCTCTCTATCTCTAAGGGGGCGGGGGAAGCAAGCACTTGGATTAAGGAACCAAATATTTGTGTGTACCTATGCATAAGTTGTTCTGATATTTTTGCAATGTCTGGTAGAATCTGTTTCATAGATAGCTATGAAACTTATGTAGTCACTTAAAA